CGGGGCTCCCCGGGCTGAGCCGCGCACCCGCCGCTGGCCTGCGGAGCTCTGCCCCGGCAACTTTCGGTGCCACAGGGAAACGCCGCGTTTGCTTTGCAAGGGGCGTTTGCAGAGCAGGGTTTTATGTTTGTTTGCTTGCTTGTTGTCTTTTGTTTCTGGGATGTGCCCACCCGTTGCTGTGTGACCGGGAACTGCTGCCAAATAAAAAGCGTAATAAATCGCGGCCATGGGACGTCGTGCTGGTGCTGAAATGGTTAAATTTTTCGTGGTACCTTTTTTTCCAGGACCATTATAAATGTTCTTGTTTAACAAACCCCCACATACACCAGCTGCTTTTCTATAGAAAGTGTTACAAAGTAAAGCCCCTTGAATCCAAGCTTAATGAAATAAGCAGGTAATCTTTTCTGGAGAAAGACTATCAAAGTTCCTTAATTGAGTAGCTCCACTTTATTAGTGAAATATAGGCCTGGAAGCTACCATTCTGTGTTCAGCTAACATTCCAGGTATTACTGTATGAACCTTTAAATAACTTTTTTAGTCATCTCATCTTTCTAGTAATTGACTGAAATTTTGTGTTCAGTTCTACTAGGAGAAAGGGCCGAAGCCAGAATGATACCGTTTCAGAAGACCTGACAAAAGTTGCTTCAAGTTATAGCCTTAAATCACGTCTTGAAATTATCAGTACTTAAATGCTGTGTATAAAGTTATAAATACCTTTATAGCTAAAAATATACTGAATAGATTAAAATTAGGAATGCTACTTTTTATTTAAGCAAACAGAAGTATGAAGTTAAATGCGCAGCTTTGAAGAAGGAATCTTCAAAGTGGACCAAACCTAGATACATGGTTGATCGCTTTACAGATTTGGCTTTTTGAAAGAAGGTATTACAGCAAATTCTTTCACTTTTTTTTTTTTTTTGTTTTGGACATCACAGCTTAACATGTGTACCATTTGAAAGTCTTACAGAAACTTATAATAATATGCTAAGAAAGAAGCTTGTAGCTACAACTGAAATGTAAGACATATATGGAAATGTATATTTGGAGGTAACAGAACATCAGTAATATAACCTCCAGTATGTACTGTACAATATGTAAGAGTCGGTTTATTAGGCTGTGATTAACCACTTTTGGAGACGGGGTTACAATTAGCTGAAAATAATTGCAGTGCTACTAGAACTGATGTCTTTTTGTATAGAAGTGTCACTGGGGTATAATGACACAAAGATTTTAGTAAGCCATTACCATAAAGTAAATTAGTCTGAATTTGTGTATGTAGTATTTTGTGCTTGCAAAGTGTGAGGTAATTGCAGAGTCTTTTATTTTCTGTATTTCTGGTTGTCATTTGTTTATAGAATTACTGCTTTATCACCTCAGGGACATATTTTTTTCTTTCAAACTCAGAAAGACCATTGATTTTGCAGTGCAACTCCAGGTAAGGCATAGACTAGCCCTGTCTAAATCAGTTTGCAAAAGTGTTGAAATGGTGGTGTGTATGTGTTTGTTTTACACTCACTGTAATAACCAGCATATGGGAAATGTCCTTCTTATGACAAAAGAGATAAAGGGAGCATGCATCTTAATGACTGATTAGTAACACTTTAGAGCACTAGAAAAACAATACTCTTTGATTTAAGCAATGAAATTGTTAAGATTAATGTGTATCTGCTTATATGTGGATGGTACATAATCATTTAATCATCTGTTTACAAGTGAATGCATAGTTATGCTTGCAGGTTTTTTTTTAATAATATGAAGAAAAAATATTAATTTGTTCAAAAATTGTATTCTTTTTATCACTTTTATTCAGACTTCGTTCTGTGGTTTTATATTCCCACTTACTATATTTAACAAACAGTGGAAATTATTTGTTTTTCTTTTTTAGTAATATTGCTGGACTCTAAAGCACAACAGACAGAGTTGGAATGGATTTCCTCTCCTCCCAATGGGGTAAGTACTCCAGGCAAAAATTAAGTTCCTAAAGATAAGCAGTTATTTTAACAAAACAACTGAAAGACTTGCCTTAAACTAGCTCCCCCTCATATTTCTCCCAGTAAGCGTACCGAGTGTTTACGGCTTTTTCATTTTTAAAATGAAAAGACACGTACCCCAGGTTACAGTGTACAAATTACAAGCTAATTAAAAGTAAGAGCCTCTTTATAAACTCACCTAAATGTTCTCGGTAGCTTTATGTTTTGGAGTGTAATTCTTTGTGCTGTACCAGAAAGCTCTGTATATTTACAACATGGTATTTTAAATCACTTTTTCCTTCTTCCTTTAGAAACAGCAGATTTACTTCTGCATGGAAACTTTCTAAAAATATGTTTTTCATTTTCTGTATAATGGGTGATCATAAATTTGTTTACAATGTTTTCTTTGTAATTGAATAGCACAGATTGAAGTGCTCTAAAATAAAAACATTTATACTGCAGATGAGTTTGAAATGACATTCCAAACTTGAAACATCCCCAAGTCTTGAGGAGCTTGATATCTGGAAGTAGGCATGAATTATGTGGTTAAGGCCACCTCCAGCTTGCTTACAAATTAATCTCATGGTGCTCCATGAAATGTACCATTGTAAAGTACATCATTATAAAAAATGAGAACTTTAGAAAGATCGGTGTTATTGTCTTATTTATAATATATGTAAAATTGAGAAATGCTGCTTTCATTCTGAATTAAAAGTGCCATAAAACTTCTTCATCAAGCCTTGAGGACGAACATTTTCAGAAAGGTATAATGGGTATATTGTCCTACCTTAGCTCAGTCCTACCTTAACTCAGTCTGACAAACCATAAATTATATGGAGAGTTCTTACTCATGGAAGCAGTCTTGTTGAATCCATTGCGACTCCTTGCGTGAACAAGGACTTGGGGGATCAGGCCCTTAATCTTCAGCGCATTAAGAAATCTGGAGCCAGAAGAGCGTGAAGTGTGAGTGGGGATATAAAAGTGTAACAAATCCTTTAAATAAGAAGAATGAAAATCTGAAAGTGTCTTTCTTTAAAAGCAAGATCGTAAAATCAATACAAGCATAAACTGGAAACGAATCTAAGGACTTCAGAAAGAATGTAATGCGAACTCAACGTGTACGATGGCTAATAACCTCGGCATTAGAGTTTTGCACTGATTGAAGCCTTTACCAGAGGTGTTTGAAAGATTAGATTGGTGGTAATTATATTAGGCTAACCTGTAGATAATGAAAGACATGTCAACACATGTCAGCAGACTTAAAGATGAAAGTAGAGTCAATTTCAACAAATAATAAAAAGGCAACTTTTAGAGGTAGAAGCCAATTTCAATCAGGAATTAAAAGTGAATCAAAACTAATGACCAGATTCATATGCATGAGAGAGTTCAGAAGTAGTTGTCTGTATATTTAACATTTTACCATTTTAATAATGTAATTTTGAAAATAAATGTTTTTCTAGTTTTAATTACTGAATTTTCTACTATACTATAAAGACTTCATTGGAATAAACACAGAAAATACTCTTCTTGAGGGAAACTACTGCATCATCACAGTACGGAATATATCAGCCAGACACTCGTTAAATGCCTCATTCAACTGCAAATGTTACATCTAACAATGATCTCAAACATTGTTAAGATAACTAAGAAGTTAAAATACCATATATTGAAACCAATAGAACAGGACACATTCAAATAGAATTGCATGTGCGTCACCGTATGTTGCAGCAGGACAAAGAAAAGTTGAATTTTCTTGCTGTAAAAGCTATCACGGAACTGATCACTTTAGAAAGACTTTAATGAAACATGACCTCAGAGGGCATAGATGCAGACATGTCCTGAAGTACTGATGTATTTTTTTTCCCTGCAGAGAAGCAGGTACCCCTCCGATGGACTACTTGAAATAATAGCTCTGTGATTACAGAATTGAATCATAAATTATATTTCCTTAATTTTTTAGGAAATCATATTCCGTGGCTTTGGGAAAATACAGGAAGCTAGTCTTCAGCATTTAATGCTGGGGGTAATGTAAAGTAGGACTTATCTGAATTTAGTGTTTTGTATTGTTGTCCTTGACTGCAGCATAAGCATGTCTCTAATATTAGCTAGCCTCATGCAGTGAGCTTTTGACTCAAAAAAGGCTCATTTGTGTTGCATTATGAGAAATGGTTTGATTTTGTTAAATGTATTTTGTTTGTTGTTTTTTTTGTTTTACTGTCTGTTGGGGTGTTTTGGGGGGGAGAGGGGTTGGTGGGGATTTATAGATCAGTCCACATCAAAACGCGAGGAGTCAGATTCTGTTGCATGGTGCTTCACAGTTACTTTCACTTCAAAGATGAGATACATCGTCTAACTGGAATACCTCATTGCAGAATCTGGCTCGGTGTTTTGATTGACAACTGCTTATGCAAGATAAAAAAATAAATACCCCAAACTAACCCAAAACAAACAAAAAACCCCCCCCACAACACTACCTCATGTGAAATGGAGAATATAACAATCAGTAAAATTTTAGGCTTCGTGCCCTTTTCTCATCTTTGTGGGGCTTCGGGGTTTTTTTTTGTTTGTTTTGCTTTTTGTTTTTTTGTTTTGTTTTTCATTGTGGCAGAGCCAAAAGCCTCAGTTCAGGGGTCCTTTTTTTTTTTTTCCTTTCCTTGTTAATACTAGTTATTAAAAAGTGTGAAAAAATCTTACTCATTCAGCCCTAATAAATCTATTACGAAGATATGACTTTTTTCTATTCTGAGATTAATACAGTTCCATATGCAATCAGTTCAGTTAACTCCATGAACATTTAATAATATATTTCAGTAATTTAACACCACATGCATATATAATGCCATACATACCACATCTATATTAACTGTAGGTCTTTGAAATGCACTTTGATATTTACAACTTCTGTGCATTTCAACATCTGCAGTCGTGATCTGTTTTGTGGTGATAACTTCCAACATCAATTCAGCCACATCTGCTTTTTCTTGGAGCAGTAGACCAACATTAAAATGAACTCATTTGCTGTCAAATAGGCTTGCAAAGTACTGTATACTGCATGGTTCCTAGTCTGGGAAACCAATGCCTTCCACGCTTGGTTACCAGCGTGAGGAATGTCAGTGGGTGCTCCATCCTGCAGAGGTGCTGGGTATGCTAGTCCCACAAAGTACTTAAGCACATGCTTACCATTAAGCTCATAAGTACTGTCATTGATCTTAAGCTTGCGCTTAAGTGCATTATTGACACAGGGCCAGAGGGCTAAGTGCCATACAAAGAAGTCATGGCTGCCTGTATGGTCGGGTGAGGATAGCTCAAAAAAAAACCCACCCTAATTTATTACAGCTGCGGTTTCTGCAGTGAATTAAGTTTTACAAGAAATGTGAAAAAAGGTGAGGGACAGATATGTTTTGCTTACACCTGGGCAGACCCGCCTGGTTGATTTCAGTGGAAGGTTTGCCATTGCTGGAGGTGCAAATTCCCACATCACCAAAGGCTGTTAAAGACTATGGGGCTGTTACAGGCTTACCAGTTCGTTACATAGTAGTTATCCTAAAGAGGGAACAACAACAAACCCCATGCTTTGAACCAGTGAACTTTCAGTCATGTGGGTTGTTCTTAATTACGTGTGTAATCTCATGGTTCATTTGAACTCCCAACTAAATGAAGTTTGCTCCTTTTAACATGGATGCAGCCACTGAACAAAATGTGAGGTGAGGAGCTTCTGCTTGCCTTCTTTGGTTTCTAAGCAGAACAGAAGGTGGACTGAACAAAAAGAGGACAACCAAGTGTTTTCTTGCTTTCAGATTTTTAATTCTGTCCATTTTCTCTTGCCCTCTTTCTCTATGCCACTTCTGTTATGGAGAAGTGAAAATCATATAACTCACAAGTTTTCCATGCTTTCTGTACAACTGGAAGTTTAACTGGAAGTTTTATGTACACAAGTTTTATGTACTGTAACACTGGGGAATTTCAGTTTCTGAGACTTCACTGATTTTAGGTTTCTCTGGAAGCGAAGCTGCCCCTTTCCTTTTGGTCTTTGCTTACCCAGAACTGTCATGACCTTAATGAAATGTGGCAGAGCCCAGTGTGTAATACAACTTGGTACATTGAACAGCCTTCTTTGAAGCTCCCCCTTTACAATGGTGCCCATGATATGACAATGATTTTTAGAAGTTATTTATATGTGAGGAAGACGTGGAGGGGGAGTAAGCCTGCAGCTGTGTTAATATGCATTTTCTTCATTTGGGTGCTTAAGAGTATTTTAACAATAGCCTACTTTCTATGAAGCCATACTGTAAAAAAAGAGGAGGCTTGAGTTGCGTGAAGCCTTTAAAAATGCACAATAGTTACATCTGGTGGGTACTTGTTTTGTATTACTAACTGTTTGTTATTGTTTTAGTGGGAAGAAATTAGTGGACTGGATGAAAACTACACTCCTATACGAACATACCAGGTATGCCAGGTGATGGAATCAAACCAAAACAACTGGCTTCGGACTAACTGGATTGCAAAAAGCAATGCACAAAGGATTTTTGTAGAACTGAAATTCACTCTGAGGGATTGTAACAGTCTTCCTGGAGTTCTGGGGACTTGTAAAGAAACTTTTAACTTGTATTATTATGAAACAGACTACGACACTGGCAGGAATATCCGAGAAAACCAATATGTAAAAATAGACACTATTGCAGCAGATGAAAGTTTTACCCAGGGTGATCTTGGGGAGAGAAAAATGAAACTTAACACAGAGGTGAGAGAAATTGGACCTTTGTCCAAAAAAGGATTCTATCTTGCATTTCAGGATGTAGGGGCCTGTATTGCTTTGGTCTCTGTCAAAGTCTACTACAAGAAGTGCTGGTCCATCATTGAGAACTTAGCTATTTTTCCTGACACAGTGACTGGCTCAGAGTTTTCCTCTTTAGTTGAAGTACGAGGAACTTGCGTCAGCAGTGCAGAGGAGGAGGCGGAGAACTCGCCGAAGATGCACTGCAGCGCAGAGGGAGAATGGTTAGTGCCTATTGGAAAATGTATCTGCAAAGCGGGATACCAGCAAAAAGGCGACACGTGTGAACGTAAGTAAACATGCAGCTTGTAATATGTACATTATAGGTCATGTTCTGCCAACTTTTTTTTTTTTCCTCCAAGAGAAATACATCATCAGTCTGCTTTTAAAGTTTTTGGATCCTCAATCTGTAAACTTCATGCTGGCTAAACCAAAGCAGTCAGCACTTCTGGATAGTGAAATCAGCAGTTGCACGCTTCACTTTAAAATTTAAACAAGAAAATTTAAAGTTGTATGAAGTATAAATATAGATTCAGGATTAACATTTTAAACCGGTTAAGGTTATGTTCCTTGAGCTTCTTGCTAAGCAATTCATACCTATCATAGAACATCATATTAATAATCTCAGATATAAGTAGTTAAACAATTTGTTCTTTCTCATGGTTGGTGACAGAATTATAAGGAAACTAAAACTGAGGAAGAATGAGGCCTGGTTAGCAATGGGAAGAATACACACGCAATAAAAACTGAGTTAGAGGTTTGTGTCATAAGCGTGTACAAATTCATACAAGAGAGTATAATTTTAGATCTTCCAAACTGAATATTAGGTTTCCACAATAAAGTATGTTTTCCTTTTTACCATATCTTTTTGCTTAAAACTAACTCTAAACTTTTGGCTTGACAGGGTATCATGGTGATTAGTTGAAAATACTAGCAAATCACAGACTATTGAGTTGTACTTTCTAATTCAGACTGGTTCAGTTACCGTATTCTTAGAATAATACTTACCCTTAGCATTGCTGTCACTGGGGCTACGTGTGTAAGACTCTTCTGTTTAGCGTGAGAAAGGATGTTTCATTGCCTTTGCTTACAGTAAAATCAAGAGAATAGGCAGTTCGTTTGAAGACAGGTATTTTCATGTACACTTAACACAAGGTCTATCATTTCTGTTGTAAGATGACACAAGGAGTTATGTATTACCATATTTTTACTGTAAGATAGGCGGACATTTGTTGGTGAGAAATGTTTTAAGTCAAAAACTGGAAAAAAACCCCATAAATCTGTGAAGAGGAGAAACCTACAGAACCTCAGAACCAAAGCTGGCAGCAGTCACTGAATCCGAGATGTCTGTGTGAGGACTTCAAAATCCTCTACAGAGGATTACGAGCACCCTAAAAGAAAAAAAAATTGATCTCATTATTAATAATTTGTCCTCAGGAAAAAAAAAAAGGGTTGTGTTCTTGCTGAGTTTTTATGAGGAAACTTAGTACAAGGTGAAGTGAGTGGAGTTGATCTGATGCCTTTGTAGCCTCGCACAAATCTTTCATTGTTCTGTTGGGAAGGGATGAGGGCTTATACGCTGTGGAGTGTGATCTCATTAGGACTAGTCATAATGTGAAAAACTTTCCCCACAAAATCATTCAGTAGACTGTATTAAAGTTCTGTTAAGAATATTAAGCACTGTGTCCCACAGAAGCCTGTTTTGAGGTTTTGGAATGTTGTTTTTGAGCAACTGACTTTTTTCCTTTTCTTAGTTAACTTGCTCTTGATTACAGACCTGTTCGTGGTCGATGTAAGTAATATATTAATTTTATTTGACTTTCAATAAAGGAGAGAAAGCATCCAAAAAAGAAAGTAGTGTATGTTGGGAAGTGAGTGGGGGACAGGAGCTGAGTGAGTGTGGGGGGGATGGATAGAGAAAAAATTGGTGTTTGGTAACGTGAATTCAAGTAACTTGTTTATTAAACAGGCTTCTTAATTTCTAACCATGCTGATGTTGGTGAAAGAATTAAATGATAACTTGTACTTGAGTACAGTAGCGTTCTCATTTGCAAGAACACTTCCCATTTTTGGCTTGCTTCCAAAGCAATCGCTAAGAGAATACACTACTCTGGAAACGATCCAGAGGATCATTTATGGTATTTTTCCTCTTTTCTTTCAGTGATCCTGTTAAGAGTTTCAAAACAAACTCTGGCTCCGTATTGAGGCAAGTTAATGTACTTGAGAGGGAAAAGGAGGGAGGCAGGCACTCGCCGAATGCGCGCCGTTGGCAGCTCGGAGTCAGAACGATCTGGGTGACTGTGGCACACAATAGTAATTGCCGTCTGTGATACTTGTTAGCCGTGTCTGTGCTGGAGGATGTTATTAAGTATGATCAACTATGTAGTGACCGATAATACAGCTGGCACACTGATACCGCGTCTGTTTTTTGTGACAGATATTGAGAGAAACTTATCTGAACATTGACACTAATGCAACTGGCTATCTGTTACTGTCAAGCTGTGTAGCAGATCAAGCAGAAGCAAGTTGGCGTGTGCTTCCTTAACCCAGAGCTTTTATAGCCCTGTCTGAGGGCTCACTTCTGCAAATACTTTGTACCTGGCATGCTGTGTGACTTCTTTGGGAGTACTCATGGCAGAAAGCATTGTGCTCTGTCAGGATGGGCGGAAGTCTGTGATTCCTCTCTCACACTTGCTATAGCTCCGCTGTATTAACTTAACACAATAGGAAGGTCTTTTAAAGGTACAGAATAATACCTTATCTGGCTGCGTTGTAGCAAAGGTAGGAGTAGATGGCCACATTGTAGTTCCAAATTCAGCCTGTCACTCAGTGGGGATTTTCATTTGTGTTACGGTAGCTTGATTGGCTGGCTGTGATTGAAGAATGTGTGCCTTTTGCATACAGCTTCTCTCCTGTGCGTGAAATTTATTGAGCTCAGATACTAAAACAATTGAATTTTGATTTATACACAACTCTGCACTGGATGTGTTGCCAGAAGATTTTTTTGTTGCATCAATGTAAGTAACTGGGTAATGCTGGGAAGGATAAGGAAGAAAACAATCATGAGCGGTGAAACACATAACCTGGAAAATGAGCTCCCATGCGTTCCATCTTCAGTGCTCGATCTTTCAGGCTGAATTAATCTTTTTTTTTGGATGTGCACTGATTGCTTCTCACTGTAGGTGTGCCAAGGAGTCTGTGCCACCTCAGTGATCTATCGTGATAACACATATATGTGAGAGAGCCAAATTCCAGAGAGCTCACAATTGTCATTTAAAGCAAAATCTTAAAGCTGGGTGAAAAAAACACGGGAAAAGCATATGAGCCTCTGAACTTTGAATTGCAGATTCTTTTGCTTACATGCAAGGATGCTATCTCCTCAGTGCTGATCTTATGTCTGCTGGTGTGTGGCATTAGACCTAGGTGTGGAAGTTGTACCTTTTAAAGGATTGTCTTGAAAGGTGCCTAGCAAAGGTACAAGAAAGGTACTTAGAAATATTTGGTTCTTGCAACATCATGTATTGCATCTGTTCTGGAAAAAACAAACAAACAACAAACCAACCACAAAAACCCAATGAAGTTTGCACTAATTGTAGTGGACTCCCAATAGGTCTAACTTTGATTTTTTCCTCACAGTGGAGTCCAGTCGATACGTTGTGCATGTAAGGACCACACTGTGATCAGTGATTGGTATTTGACGGAGAAAATAATTCTTTGAGGCCTTCTAGTGTAATGTTTTTTCCATCTGTTCCATGTTGGTTGGGGGTGGGGAGGGAGAGAATTAAATTTATTCAATCAGAGTAGTAGAGTGATATTTCAGAAGGTAGGAAGTGTCTCTTAATATGACTGAACTGAGAAATTACATAGATGATTTGGCACAAAGTCAAAAAATTCAGAATTCTAGGGAAAACCAAATGGGTGCATTTTACTGTTAAACATTTTATAATACCATATGCATTAACAGTTGCTTTATTGGCCCCCAAATGGGGAGGGGATTATAGCTATTTGTACATTTTGTCTTGGTGAGGTAAAAAGAGAGCTACAGGCTTTTCTTTCCAAACTTTGTCATGTGCTGTACACTGTGCCAGACTGCAAGCTGCATCTGTTCCTTCTTTTTTTCTTCTTGGGACAAAATTTTATCCTTGACTTTTAGAAATATTACTTGATAACAGATCCAGAAACCGAATGTGCCTTATGCTTGGCGTATTTGTGGTAAAGTATGTGTGGTTGTGGTTTTTTGTTTGTTTTGGTTTTTGTTTTTGTTTTTTAATATTACTCCACTTAGCAGCTGATGTACCACAAGTTTACTAGTAGAGGGCAATAAATTAAGGGGGAGAAAGTGAATAAGTTGTCACTAAAAAAATGTTACCATACTTCTAAAAACCCCATGTTGCGCATATTGTGAATTGGGTGTAGAGTTTAGCCCAGGCAGTGTGTCCTAAAAGCTGTGGGTGACCTGCAGCTTGACTAATTTATGTTGACATTCCTTCATTTTCAACCTGAAAATGTTTTGCTTTGTGGAGAAGCGGCAATATGGTGGAAAAATTTCTCAATGGCATCTATAACATCAAGAGTCTAAATGTTTCCTTTTTTGATGAAGAAGAGTTACCTTTCTTCCATTTGCCTCCAAAATGACTCTAGGGAACAGAATGTAAGAATTCTCAGCAAATTGAACCAGAGCAGAGAATGAGGATATCTCTGAGCCTTGTAATTTTCTCTGAAGCCAGTGGTAGTTCAACAGGAGAGGGTCTACCTCCTTTCCTTTTTATCCCCTAACATATTAAATAATTCTTCTGTCCTTTTTTGAAGAAAGGTCAGTGTGATCTGATATCAGGTCCCAGATACAGCTGCATAGGAACAATTGGATTTAAAAAAAAATAATAATGTAAGTCTCTTTCCAAATGATCCTAGCAGGACTCAGAAAAATATACCAGATACTTTTAAGGTGAAAAGTAAGACCTTCTAGCTAGATGGTCAAGAATACTGAAGGTATTTCTACTATGAAATGCAGAGCTATTATTTCTGCTTCCAGCCCCCTTTGGAGTTTCTAGAAAGTTGAATGTCTTGGCTTTCTTTCACCCTGGAGTCTTATCACTGCCCTTCTTGTCAGAAAGATGTGGTAGAAAGATATATTTTCTTGCTACATCTTTCTTTCAGAACAGTCTAGTGTTCATGAAGAGGATGATTTTCACAAATGTGTCAGTTTCCCTAAGTTATTTGGGTTTCTTTGACCTACTCTGTTCATGTCCTTCAGCCTTTAAGATGTGTCAACACAGAGAAGAGAAGGGG